TCTTTCCCACAGCATCCTAAGCTGTTCTGGTTAGAACATTCACCCTGGAGAAAGGAATATGGATTTCAATCCACTTTAAGCAGAGTGGATATCCCATATTCTAGTTGAGAGTTCTGTCCACTAGATAAAATAGGGGTGATGGCATCACTTCCTCTGGTTGTGTCTGTGTGGACTCTGGCCCAGTAGGTGTTCCATCACTGTGCCTGATTAGGCCCTGCAAGCAAAATAAGAATTAGGAAAGGAAAAGGAAAACACCTGGCATGGCTCCAACACTCAGCTGCTCAATACTGTCAGACATAGAGATTTTGGGGCCAAAAGAAAATATTTATATAGTTTTTGGGTTAGGCAGAAGCTGAATAGGATGTTGGGAATATCTACATTTTTAGTTAAGTGTCTATAATGGTGGTTAGCACTAAGCACTTAAGTCCTTTTGTGAATTTAGTCCTGAGTTCCTATGTGATGTTGATGATAGAACCAAAATGTTCACAGTTGGTCACTGCATGATCCTTATTTTTCTAGGTGCCCGGACATACATGTTATTTATTGAAGTTCTAAAAACTCACAGCTGCAACCAGGAAATCAATGGGAATTCTGCTCTTGGTATTTACAGCTTTCTTAAACTGGGAATTCAAAAATTAGTTGCCAGTTTTAACAGGGTGGTGTATAGGGCTGTGTGAAGCTTCGGTCACTGATTGGATTCTGCGGAGATTTGGCCCGATTTGGTGGCTGATTCTCCAAATCCGAATCAAATCAGGTGACCCTTTAATCTCTCCAAATTGAATTGGAGAGATTCAGAAAGGTTTGACGATTTGGACGTAGACACAGTTTTAAAAGTTTTTTCTACATACCTCAGGGTACCAGGCGGCTCATGAATGCTGAGACGCTGGGGCAGATGGAGCATCCCATAGGAGCACAGAGGGGTCACCAGTGCACTCAGCAACAGACCCAGAAGTGGACCAGAAACACTTCAGGTGCACTTCTTGGTCCATCAGGGAGTGCACAGGGGGGCCTTGGTGACTGGTGCCTCTTGGGTCTTGGGGGGGCACCCAGGGTCCCCCTACAGTCAATCACCGAGCCCAGTGGGCACAGGTGTTATGTGGGGGGACCCATTGCACTTGGCGGCAGACCCAGAAGTGGACTGGAAGTACTTCCAGTCCACTTCTGGGCTTTCCACCAAGCACGTGGGGGCCTCCCAGGCGCTCTTGTGTGATGCTCCATCCATCCCACCATCACAGCATTCACGAGCCATGCCTGGTACCTAATGGTATATAGAAAAAACATTTAAAGCTGTGTGTGCGGCCGAATCACTGATTCTCCAAGTCAGCATAGAATCTTCAGATTCTGATTTGGCCAAATTGAATCAGGACAGTGATCCGAATCAATGAATCGAATCACTATCCCTGATTTGGGCTGAATCCGAATCTGAATTGAATACGGACCGTTTCACACACCCTTAGCGGTTTAGTCTCTGAGGGTGTATCGACCTGTACAATTAAGGTGAAGCAATAAACTCTGGGGAAATTTGCTCTGGAGTTTACTACTCCCAAGCGCAATGTCTACATGTTCACCCAGGAGAGCACCACTTTGAGCTAGGGCGGAGTAGACCCAGGCTGGCAGCATCCTCAGGGGGTCAACCTCAGGCTCCAGGTGGCAGCTCTGGGCAGTGGAGGGGTAGGTTGGTGCATGAAAGTGCCAAATGTGTGGAGCCATGTGGCTAGGCAGAGGCAGGGGACTGGCTTCCTGCTGCCTGGGCTGACCAGGTCCAATTTCTCCCCACATCTACCCGAGCATTTGATCACACTTATTTACTCCACCATAGGATTGTACTGTCCCAGCACAGGTGTAGATTTTGACACTTTACTGCAGAGTGAATTAGTCAACTCCACGTAGGTGCATCCTGAGTAACCAAATCTCCTCAGAAAGGTTTTGCAATGATAAACAAATTATTATCTATAAAGTACTTGGATATGATAGTGAGATCCCAATAAAAAATCTATAAGGAAATTAATAATTCGGTATGCTTTTGGATGGTTTCCATTACATAATACAAAAACATTGAAAATGATGGTGAAAACAACTGTTGTTCTAAAGGATCAGTACATGCAAACTCTTACACCAACAGAGACTCCGATTTAAGGTCATAGGAAAATGCATCTGGATTTATGAAAGTGTTTGCAGGGCTGGGACTTGATCACCAAGTTGCTGAGCACGGGATACAGCTTTCTGACTGAATTGTAATATGCAGTTCAATGACAGATATTCCTTATATCTATCATTGGCAAATATATAGGAATCATAAATTTGCTCTTGAGAAGATTTACTCACATTTTCCATATTCATTTGATTCTGCTGGGTTCATATGCCTCTTTTGTGTTCTGTGTCCTATTTCACTCTTGCCAGTCTGGGTTAGATAACAGCAGGTATTTGCTACTGGGTCATTACAGGGATATGAGGAAAGATATCTAGAGACATAATTTTTGAAGAAAGAAAATGGTTAAATTAGTAATAACCTCTATCGTATGATCATCCAAAGAGCAATGGGATATTTACATATGACCACTCTAACACTGCAAATGTACGTATCTCTCCGAACACTTCCAAAAAGTCAGAAGAAATTGTGCTATTAATGTAAAATAAATATAAGGTACAATGCAAAATTTATATACTATTTTCAACTTATTTTTCTTAACATAAGTAGAATATGAGGAACCTAAGCATGTAATTCTACCCTGCATGAGTCTCTTGTGGGGAAAGATTAACCTACAGATTGTGCTGCCAATAATTCCCATATTTCTTGTACAGCATTCGAAATAGATTAATCTATCTCAGAGTTTTTTATTGTAACACTCTTTATAGAAACTATAATTTTGTCAGTCTCCTTTAGGGACTTAGAATAGTTATTTTATTAAACAATTTTGTTGTGAAAAAGAATAGCTGCAGAAACTGAAATAAAAGAAAATGCCTCTTGATGAGATGTATTGTTTTCTTTTGTATGAAAATGATTTTTTTTTAAGAAGTCGGCACAACAGCATATACAGAGGGCCCAGCATATACACTTCCCCATTGATTTTGTTTTGGACAGGAGGATCTTTGAAATCTTTGGGCATTTAGAGATGTGCTCTGGGAGGTGTGTGCACACGGGGGTGCTCTTAAATTGTGCAGCTCTAAGAGCCACGCTAATTAAAAGTGCCCGCAGCATGACATGTATCAGTGTTCCCATGCTGAAAAATGGTGGTGAATCTCTTTGAACTAAAGCTCGTCAAGTGAGCCTTAGTTTAAAGCACCCCTGCTACCATTTTTCAACGTGTGGACACTGATACACATGACACTAGAGTCTGCTGGAGTGCAGTAATTACCATGCTCCTGCAGACCCGATTAATCAAGTCTGCTATTGATTAATCTCAATCAACCACTCTTTCCTGCCTGGGGCAGGGGCTGGACTCGACAATCTACTCAGTCCCTTCTGACCCTAGAAATCTATGAAATCATTTTACTTCTGTAAACTCAGGCTCAAGGTTCCTCTAATACTTGTACAGGAATATAGAAGTTGTTCTTATTCTTGTCCCTAGTCCCTTCTTTGTTTTCCAAATGATAATTTAGCCATAACCACTATACTAATGATAATAATAATTAGAATGGAGTACATTTGGTGCATTTGAAACTTGCCTACATTAACTTTGTATAGAAAACAACATTAAATCCAGTGCTAGGATGGTTCTGGCCAAATCATCATTTGGCTATAAGAGTAGAGCATATGGCAAAAAGTCTATGAAAAAATGTCAGACTTGCTGCATACTACAACCTAGATTGAAAAAGTGATTCCAGTAAATGGATGGGATGCTAATTTTGGAGGCTCAAAGGTCTTGATGTAATTGAATTAGGTTAATTAAGAACTACTTTTTCAATATTAAAACAGTAGGTAGAATCAGATGGAAAAATAAAAAAGACCCAGGATATTAAGAATGATACTTGTTAACAAAGTTTGAAACACTGTTTCAGGGGTAACGTAGATGGTAATCTAGATGGACAGGATTTTTTTCCAATCCAAAATAAATTACAATTATAAAATAATTAAAATAAGCAAAAAATCAAACAAACAAAAAATCCTATATCTGAAAAAAAAAAACGATCATCAACCCTCAAGACCTTTATTTTAACTGAAAATATTATAGTAAAAAATAAAGCAATAGTGGAGTGGAGCAAAGAAATACATTGTATTCTCGTATCCAATTTTCATAGTTTTAGGGAGGGTTTTTTGCTTTTCTTTCTTTTGAACATCAAGGATATCTAAGCTTGGGGTGCATTCAAATTAAGAGAATTCAGGAATACCAAAGAGACAACCAGATGAACAATATGTTACCAACAAACTCAGGCAAACAAAAACCAGGCTCTGCTTAGGGTAGCTGACTGCCCTATACACCATGTTTAGCCTGTAGGACAACTAGGTGAACTGCAATAATCTGGTCTGAACCTGATGAGTACAAAGGCCATGTCCAAAAGGAATCCTGGAGATTCCTTGCTAGCCAGAAATGGATGATGATACTTTTGTTGCTGGCTATAATTTTGTGGAGGCAAAATTTTTATTTTTTAACTAGGCTAGCCATGACTTACTCTAGCTAAGGAAACTGTTTGCTACCACAAGAAATATAAGAGTTGGGTCTTTTTTCACTGCATCCAGATTTCAGTCTCTTCCGAATTGAAATAGATGGCAGATATGTCTGTCAGTTCCTTTGGAGGCAAAAAGACAGTAATAAAGAAAACTACTTTTTTCCAATTACAGTGAAGTAAGGGTTTCGTAACATTAATTTTGGACTAAAAAATCAGAAACATCTACCCAAGTGTTTAAATACCAAATATGAATATGATGCAATGCTCTCAAAATTGTGGTAAAAGTTGGAATGATTCCCATCAACTGAACTTTACTGCTCACTAATTTGAAAAAAGACAACGGGAAATTAATCCACTTTAATTATCTGTTTACACATCTTACTGCAAAACTCAATTTAATTTAACAGTAATTATTCTAAGTTTTACAGTAATTTTGAGGCGAAATTGAAAGGTAGCTTTGAAGATTTTTTTTTCACTGCAGCATCTGTTGCTGTTGCTAATTTCTAAATTCATACTTACGTGCAAGTAATGTTTTCTCGTCAATGAAAAGGTTTAATTTGCTTTTATGTTTCTCATGTGTAACTTTTTCTAAAATATTAGATTATATTATTCATTTTTCAGTTAGTAAAGGGTCTTACCAACTTCTTCCAAATACATAAGTACTTAAACAAGTATTC